TAATGCTCCATCATGGAAACATCCCCCTGGTCTGTCTGGCAGTTCAGCGAGGCAGATGGGAGGTTATCACCTGCACAACTGCAACCCCCCATCAGGGGGCTTTGTTACTCTGCACTTGAAGAGCTTTTTAATTTCTTTGCTTTTGTGTCTGTGGGATGCTCTTAGAAACCAGCAACACATCCCTAAAGTCTCGTGTAGAGACAGCGCCCGTGTGAAGACTGTGCTGGGCACTGGTGAGGCCGCTCCTCAAAATCTGTGTTCAGTTTTGGGCCCCTCACTCCCAGAAGGACATTGAGGGGCTGGAGCGTGGCCAGAGAAGGGCAATGGAGCTGGGGAGGGGTCTGGAGCACACGAATGATGGGGAGCGGCTGAGGGAGCTGGGGGGTTCAACTGGAGAAGAGGAGGGGAGGGGAGACCTTATCCCCTCTGCAGCTCCTGAAAGGAGGGGGGAGCAAGGGGAGGTCGGGCTCTGCTCCCCAGGAACAAGCGATGGGATGAGAGGAAATGGCCTCAAGTTGCATGAGGGGAGGGTTAGATTGGATCTGAGGAAGAATTTCTTTACTGCAAGAGTGGTCAAGCACTGTCAGGGGCTGCCCAGGGCAGTGGGGGAGTCCCCATCCTTGGGGGTTTAACAGACAGGGAGATGAGGTGCTGAGCACCATGGTTTAGTGGTGGACAGGTCACGGCTGGACTCGATGATCTTAAAGGTCTTTTCCAACCAGTTCTGTGACTGTCTGATTCCCCTGGTGACCTGTGCTGTGTGCTGGCCTGTATGCCACTGGTTTCCCATGTAGGCAGGTGTGTCTTCACTTGCTCTATGTATAAAAGGAAGCTTTCATTACTATCCCTGAGTAAGTTTGGTTCCCTCTCTCACTCCTGCACCACTTTCCCACCATCCCATTCCAGCACCGGATGCCAGCCCAGCACCGAGCTGGCTGCTCTGGGCACAGGGGTGCATGGAGGTTCCCTGTCCCAGGCCCAGACAGACCCACACACAGGATGGGACCTCACCCAGGGCGCTTCATCGGAGCTGCTTCACAGCAGCTACATTTGGGTTCCTCTCCAACAGGACTGTCCCGCTTAAACCCCAAACCGCTTCCCATTAAACATCTGTGCAAAAGGCTGATGTCTGGGAAAGCAGATGGGTGGGCACAGCCTCTGCGCTGGTCTGGACACTGTACCAGGAAAGTGGCTGTGGGCACGGGAACGGGTCTGTGCTGCTCACCTCCATCCTCCGAGGACATCCTGCACCCTCTGGGTGTGACACAGCCTCTCCTTGCCAGGACACACCAGGACACTCGCCCCCCATGTGCTGGGACCACAAAGGGGTGTCAAGGCCCCAGAGCTCACACCGAGGGGATCTGTGTCAGCAGAAGCATTATTTGGGCTCAGCTGGCAAAGACCACGGTTGGGGAGGATGGGAGACCACGTGCATAGGTTCACATTGGTGCAATGCTAAGGAACCAAAGCCCACCCCCTGAATATATTTAACTTAGCAATTAACACACTGTCATTATTCTGGTGTGAACACAATGTGATGCATTCTTCAAACATGTGCTCATGTTCCTGCACGTGCTCACAGCCAAAGGAGAGGATGGGGCCGTGCAAGTGGGGAGCGCTTTGCTCTGCTCAGGAGGCAGAGCTGAAGCCGTGGGCTCCCCCTCACGTTACCCATCTTGGCCTGGTGAGCGCTTGGTGCTGCTGTAAATACTGCAGCAGAGCTGGAGGCCTCTTGGTAGGGTCAATACAAGAGAGTTGGGTTTGTCTTAAAAATACAAACACACAGAGAACTGCTCAGGTGAATGACACCTCCAGAAAGGGGAGAGGGAAACAAGGCAGGAGGGGAACGATTCCTCCGTGAATCACCTGCAGCAGAGGGCAACGTGCTGTGAATGCACAGACTGTGTCCAGGCACAATATCCAGGATCCTTTCACCCTTGATAAGCAGCTTCCCAGTGGGGAGGAGGTGGTTAATTCTTAGGCACATTTTCTTACGCAAATTGCTAGTTTTAAATAAAGGCTTGCATTGAGAGCATTGTAGGAAAACATGCCACGATTAGTGGTGGAGAGGGAGGGAGCAGATAATTAAAGTTTAATTAAACAAATAGCGCTATAGATTCAAGAGTGTTGTTTTACTGCTAAAACATGGAGTTTGGCCACAAGCATAAATCTGATTTGCACAGCTACTAAGCACCCACTGTTTCCAACAAATGATAGTCTTTGAAAAGCAGGTCCCCACTGTGCTGGAACTGCAGCTATTTAGCAAAAAGCCACATAAATGCCACTGGATGGAAGAGGAAAAACAATGTAAGAAGTGAGACAGACTCACAGCATGGTTTGGGTGGGAAGGGACCTCAAAGCCCCCCAGTCCAACCCCCATGGGCAGGGACACCTCCACCAGCCCAGGCTGCTCCAAGCCCCGTCCAACCTGGCCTTGGGCACTGCCAGGGAGGGGGCACCCACAGCTTCTCTGGGCAACCTGGGCCAGGGCCTCACCACCTCACAGGGAAGGATTTCTTCCCAACATCCACTCTAAATCTCCTCTCTTCCAGTTTAAAGCCATCACCCCTTGTTCTATCCCTCCCTGCCCTTGTAAAAGGTCCCTCCCAATCTTTCCTGTAGCCCCGTCAGGTACTGGAAGGCTGTTCTAAAGTCTCCCCAGAGCCTTCTCTTCTCAACCTCAACTCTCTCAGCTGTCCCCATAGCAGAGCTGCTCCAGCCCCTGAGCATCTCTGTGGCCTCCTCTGGACCTGCTCCAGCAGCTCCATGGCCTTTTTGTGTTGGGGGTCCAACTCCCTTTTCTCAATCTGCTGGTCATGATTCCTGTGATGCAGCCCAGGATGCTGTTGGCCTTCAGGGCTGCAAGCACCCATTGCCAGCTCATGTAGAGCTTCTCATCAACCAGCATCCCCAGGTCCTTCTCCTCGGTGCTGCTCTCAGTTCAGTCTCTGCCCAGCCCGTGTTTGTGCTTCAGATCCCCTCCTCATCTTCCTGACTTCTTGTCAAAGGGGCGATGAATGAAGAGTTCCCACTGCTACGTGCTGCCTTTGACTTGGCAAACTGGAAACTGTTCTCTGTACTGCTGAAGGCAGAACATGCCCTGCTAGGGGAGGTCATCACTGTGAGGAGATGGACCTCCTTACCTGAGAAATATTAGATATCTGAGTATTTCAGGCTCATCTTCTTAAAACACACCCTCTGAGATGGAAATATTCCTGCTTGTACTTCAATTTCATGGTGGAGGAGGATGAATGGACATGGTTTAGTGGGCATGGTGGGGCTGTGTTGATGACTGGACTTGATGATCTTAGAGATCTCGTCCAACCTTAATGGTTCTGTGATTCTGTGAACAGGCTGTTAGCGGTGGAGTGGAAATGAATGTCTAGATGAACTGCACCCCTGTACACCTCTGCTGGGACCAAGAACAGAACAAGACCAGGCTGCTGCAGGAAGTTCACACATTCACAGGATCACCACCACACACTTCCTGCCCACTTCTCCTTACTTCTATAGACGAGGCTGGAGCACTCTGGGCACCCAGACTGCACGTCCCATGGAAAGCCCAGGAGATAACTGAGCAGACTTTGAAGTAGACCAAGAATCAGCCTTGCAGACAACCTAACGTGGGTTCCTCCTTGGAATCAGCCATTTCAGTGGCTTTCTCTCTTCACTGACAGTACAGAGTGAACAATATTCACCACCTAAGCAAGGCACCTCGATCTTTAGGGCACACCACCCGCCCATAGAGAAGGAGCTTTGCTAATGGTTACTGAAGTGCAGTGGTTGATGTATTAGAGAAGAATGCCAAGAGACCAGCAAGGTGAGAAACAGACTGGGCATCTGGGATAGACGAGGCAGTCCTGCTCGTCCCCCATCAGCTGCGTGACAAACCTACAGTCGTAATCAATGTAGGTACTCAGGCCATGAGAAAGTGCCCATCGTGGGGTGCAAGTTCAGATCAGCTGTGCTGAGATACGGGGTCAGTAATCCTGGAGTGAACAGGGCACAGGGACGGATGGAGACTAGAACGACACCATGCCACACGGGAGGCTGCACACTCTCAATGCAACCCAAGCCCAGCAAACTCAGCAAGAACCAGGGAAACGGTGACTCTAAAGGGGCTGCAAGAGGCCAAAGCCACTGATCTATGAGCCCAGCCAAGAGTCTCGAGCAGCTTTTCAGGGATAGACAAAGAATTGAGACAAACACCTCGGCAAATTTCCCCATCAATTAATTTAAAGGCTTTAGGCTGAATCTCCAGTCTGCATTATGGAGAGTTTGCAGCTCAAAACAACAGGGAAGGTGGAAGCGTATTCATCAGAGACACCTGCTCAGGCTCAGGAGTCCTCCAGGTACCTGGAGCCTCTGGAAACCTCCCACTGCACAAACCAGAGAGGACATTTCTGCAATGGCTTTGGAGGATGTGGCCCAGCAAACCCGTATCCGTGTGACCCTATGGACACTGTGGGAAGCAGCCGTGTTGGGGATGGGGTTGGGTTTGGCTGAGCTGGTGGAGCACACACCACTGAGATCTTCCCTGTTATTTGGGGAGGGCTGTGAGGGACATTATGGGATCCTGGGAAAGGGCAGCAGCTCCTGGTGTACATCAGCATCTGCACCACACGCCTCAGCAAACCATCCCGGAAAATCGGGGGAAGATTGACTGAAGCAACTGGGCAGGTTTATGACCGTTAATACCACGCATAGCAATGGAAGCTAAAATATGGGTAATTAAATCCCAGATTATATGGTGTTATGTGATGACTATCAGGGTTAGAAGGCATTTTCCCTGCGTTCCACATGCTTTACACAACTGCGTGGGGAACCTGCCTTGGTGTACAGCGGTTTCTTCACTCCTGTGGAACACCAAGCACTGACCCACGCCAGAGACAAAGCAAAGCAGAGTTCCCACACCCGCGGCTCAATGGAAAATCTGACCCTGCTGCACCCGTTACAAGTTGCTATCAACAGCCAGCTTTGGGAAGAGACGCTGTGCTCACCTTCCAAAGGGTGACGGTCATTCTTTGGTAACTTGGGGGAGAGAGGAGCACTGTATGGAGGGGAATCTTGGGAATATCGCTTTGTACCCCGGCCTGGTCCCTGCAGAGAGCCGTCTAACGAACTGCTTCTGTCTAGGAAAAGAGAACAAGCCCTATTTAGGAGTGCAGACTTCCTGGGAAATCCAGTCCTGCCAGAGCCACTTGACACTCGCACGCATCGCCAGCCTGGTAACAGCCTGTGAAAACTGCCATCCAGCTGCAACTGCCAGTGCTTCACGTTTTATACTTTGCTCAGCAAGTTTTATCGTAGGAAAAGGGTGATGAGAAACCTAATGAAGAATCTTAGCCATGTTTTGCCACGTTTCACCCCAAATATCACCTCTAATTGACTTAATTCCATTTCTCCTAATTGTACTCCTTGGCTCACCTCGCACAATCCCGGCTCCTCCCCAGTCCTCCTCTTTCAGACGCTTGTAATCCTTGGACAATTTGCAAACAACCCTTGGATGACTTGAAAACACTCTGTGCCATACACAGTACTCAAATTCCCAGTCTTTGCCCAAATGGATCCCTCAAGCACCTCGGCTGTCACTGCTGCTCTTCTCCAAGCACTTCCCATCGCCAGGGCTCTCCACACTGTCCCCGTCAGGCTGGGCTGTGAGACGATGGCTGAAGGGTGCACATGAAGCATCAGGGGTGGATGGACACAGAGCACGGACGCGCTAACACGGACGGGACAGCAGCCAAGCGGTGCAGTAGTGCAGACCATGCCCAGTTAAGCAGCAATGGAGAGGTCCCCGCAGCCACCCCCTGCAGCTGCCCCCAGAGGGGGAAATGCTCAGGGACAAATGTCGGGGGCTGGAGAACAGCACGGGGCAGCCCAGGGATGGGCGCTGGAAGGGGACAGGAGAACGGCGGGGGAAACTGGGAGCAGACAGCACAGGCGATGTGTGATGCCAAACACACACAGGGACGGGTGGGTGGGAAGCATCAGCATCGCAACATCATTGCCTAAAAAGAAATACAAAAGTATCTGTACTACCAAAATCCTGTGGGGAAAGGAAAGATAAGCTGCTTATAGTGAGGCCCTGGGACTCCATACGATCAAATACGATCAAAAATCACTGTTACATTGTCAGAAAGACAAACACTGCCCTCAGGCCAAGTCCCTGTAAGAAACATTCTTACCCAGACAGAGACAGGAAACAAATGCTCTCAGTAACGTCTCTGGATGTCTCTAAATGTAAAACTGCATGACCTTCTTCACCCAACAGGCACAGAACCACAACAAAAGGTGAGGCGTTTTAAAGGCTTTATCAGGTTTTGTCTTGGGTTATTTTTTAAACTGACTGATTTTAAAAGTAATGCAAATGCAGAAGGTCAGGTTGTAGAAGATAACCCAGGGAATCAGAAGTCAGGTCAGTGTAAATTAAGGGAAGGATAACCCAAAAGTTGGTCTGTAGCTAGGGTCGCTGGTTTTACAGGACAAATATTAAGACAATAAAGGAATGGAGCAATGCATGGAGCTGCACTCGGCAGTCACGGTGCCGGTCATCAGGAAAAAACCAACCTGAAAGATGCCATAAATGTCATGAATGTGTATGATCAGTGAGGAAATCATCTGGGAGGAAAGGACCCCAAATCTAAGTGGGTAAATGTTCACTTCCAGAAGGATGCTGAGAACAAGCAGATCATTTATGGGAGATGAAAAGGAGCTGCTATGGAGTCGCACACTGCAGAGGATGGCAAGCACAGGGATGAAGGGAACCTTTTCACTCCTCTTGTCTTTGGACACAGTATAAAGGAAAAGACAGGGCTGTGCCTTCAGCTACTTCAGATACAAGTGCACGGGAACAGAGCGAGAGGATGCTGTGCAGAAAGGTAAAACTGAGAAAAAATAAATAAGATTCTCCTGTCTGCAAATGATGGGACAGCCTCGAGGGATATTTCACTGGAGGAAAAGGAAAAGCATCTGCCCATGCTGGGTTTGTGCTACTGGCCACCCCAAGGCAGTGAGGATGCACGCCTTCACAGTGAGAGGCCACTCACCTCACCTCATCCAGTCAAGTCCAAGCCCAAGCCCAAGTCCAGGCTCCTGCTGTAGGATGCTGTAACCTGCACTGACTGCGCAGGTACCAGCTCAGGCGTCGATGCCGCTGTGACACTCACCCGTGTTCAAACAAATCCCACCCTTCCCTTGCAGTGGCAGCCACGCTGAACACCAGGGCACGGCTCAGAGGGTAAAAGAAACGGGACAGGAACAAAAATCCACACTGCTGACTAAGAAGTGGAAGTCAAATAACTGAACGAACCCAAACAGGGGAGGTGAGGGTGCAGAGGAGGGCAAAATGTAATGTGTTAAAGGTGGCGCACATAAAACCCCGGGTCTGCTGCAGCAAATTATAACAAAACTCAGTGACGCGCTGCTCAGACTGGAAACACGGTGCTAACATTTAAAATAGGAGGTAGAAATTATTTTGACAAGAAAATGCTCATGTCTGACCTCAGCCGTACCACAAGGCTTGTGAGAGGTACCAAAGGAAAGGCTGGACCAAAGCAGTGACACACGGCACATTCTGTGGTGGGCGATCAACAGGGAGTAACCCAGCAGCTTCCTATCACGGGTGTGCAGGACAACGGGAAAATCACAGAGGTATCAGAACAAGGAAGAGTGGTCAATCTCATCTGCCTGGAATTCAGCAAGGCATTTGATAGGGAAAACACGAGGATCACCAGGAGCTTTGTAATATTTGAGTGGAATAAGAGTGGGCTGAGCACTGAGCAGGAACACGAGGCTGGAGAGCATGGTGAATTGTCCTGAGGATCCTTCTGAGCCCAGTGTCATTTAATACTTTTATTAACAGCTTTGGCACAAATGTTAGAGATACACCGATGAAATCTGCTGACGTTTTCCCACACTAGACCAGAAAAAGTAACATTTGAAATTATGCAGAAAAAAATATATACCAGAAAGTACCAGAATGGAAGTAAATCCAGCAGCAAAATGCAGATGTGCACATGAAGCACTGTCCCAAGAGCTGGGCAATAACTGATGAGAAGAACAGGATACGCGACCAGGACGGGTTGATCATCACCTGCAAGGACACAGCAACGAAAAGTGGCTTCCAGAGACATTTCCTGTGACCGTGGTGGTGCCAGTGCTGTGGCACCAGGTCCCCAGGAGCTGGGGCCCTCTGGTCACCTCATGACATCTAACTCAAGCCAATGCCAGATGAGGAGAGCACAGAGCCTTTCCTGCCAGAGCAGCCAGAAGTGAGCTCCTCTGAAGGACACAGCTGCTCTCTAATGATGGCCAGACAGAGGAGAACCAAGATAATGTTAAGACAAGAAGACATGGATACCAAGTTGCCCGACAATAAATTTGGGCTAGAAACTATAACATAATTTCTAAAAATTCAGCAAAAATCCTTGGAGCAGACTCCACTGGAGAAGCAAAATCCCCAGCTCCAGAGCTGATTAAAGCAATGCCGTACGCTGTGGTGCCTGCAGTGACCGGACCCAGGGCTCAACGCTCCAGAAAGTCCCTCCAGTCCCATGGCCCCAGATCAGCTCTACCTGCTCACAACACTTCACAGCCCATCACTGTTCCTGTTAACAGCAACCAACTTCCCGTTTTCTTGCACATCTACTGCTTCCTGGTGTACAACTCAATCCATTTCCCCTTACTTCCACGATGACGCCATTCTTAGCAAGACAGAACGCCGGGACGCAGCTGAGCTAAGGGCTGCTGCCAACCACCTTCCCTCTGCCCGAACACACGCATGGACTCTCCGTGGGATCCACAGTGGTGCTCCTGTGACGAGAGCTCGTGCTGGGAACTGAGACCAGCTCCCAGTGCCAACCAGTGACCATTTTCTGGAAGAACCAGCCCCATTTAGGCACATGAGCACCGGTACTGGAGATACAGCAGGACATACAGAGCTGAACGTGACCACGGCAGTTTTGACTCTTGGTGTCATTAAAGCTGATGCACAACTGCATCTTCCGAGACCAGTCCTGACCTCCCAAAATCACCAGTATTATTTCTTTGCCCTCACCAGAAGCCACTGTATTGTGCAGATAACAGTGTTTATCATCTTCTTTCAGGTGCATGTGAAAGATGTTAGTTGACCAGATGTCCAACAATCCCCAGGACATCAGTATGAACCTCAGGACCGGGTGTTACCACCTCTCTGACTGTGGTTAATCTTTCTTTAATCCCTGCAAACACTGATGAAGAGTTCAGGATGGGCAGGCCTCAGCATTCTGCTGTATCTGAATTCTGTTCCCCTGAATTCTGACTTTGCTCTTTATACTTTTGCCCCCTGCCAGGCAGCCTGGCTCTGAGCACAGACACCACTGACTTCTCACAGTGCCTAAAAACCACATGTGAACTACAGGACCCTCTCCATCCCAGCCTGCTACCCCTGCCCCTGCCTCTTCCTCCCACTGTGGATTTGCTCTGTCTCATGATGACAGGGTACTTCTATGCTGAAATGTGGGGATTTCTTCTAACTGGGGGTAACCTCTAGTCCCAGTAACCAGCCATGCTGTTCCTGTACTTGCCACAGCAGCCAGCCCATGTCCTACAGCTCCTCACAGCACAGCGCGGGTCCCTGCTCCTGGCACCGCTGGCTCCAACGTGGCTCTGGGCAGTCTCAGACACAGCGGACGCAGAGGACAGGGACACCAAAATGCTCAGAGGACAGCGACACCGAGATCCTCAGTGGACAACACCACTGAGATCCTCAGCAGACAGTGATGCTGAGACCCTGAGGACAGGGGCATCGAGACCCTCATGCTCCTTCCACTGCTGCCAATCCCTTCCCCTGAGCACTGGGGCTCTGTTGGATGCGATGAAGCCCTGTGGCATCAGGCTGCTGCCCCTAAGTTTCATGTTTAGCAACTTTTCTTTGAAAAGTTCTTCCCAAGTGCTTATCCTTTCACATTAGAAATTCTTGCTTTTTTACTGTCAAAGCTGTAACTATCCAAAGGATTAACTTTGGTAAAAGAAGTTAATCAGTTAATCAGTACAACAGCTATTTGCTGTCTGGGGAGGGGGGGTGAAGGGCAGTGGAGGAAGCAAGACAGGAGAGCAGATCAGCACAAGACACTTGTCAGCTACCTCCTAAAGAGGGTGCAGACAGCTTCATCTTCTCCAGGACCGGTTCCTACAGCAGCAGCTCCCCCAGAGCCTGGGGAGGCAGCTCTCACCCCAGGCCTTGCTGAGACCACACAGCACTGCGGGGAAAACGATTGCTCTTCTTGTTTTCCACCGCTTTCGCTTCAGAGCAATTTTGCAGCCTGGCAATTTGCATCATGGCATGAACTATCTTGCCAGGGGTGTGCTGCTTCAACGCAGCCAAGCGTTAGCCATGCCAAGAAAAACAGAGCCACCTATGCCTCAGATTGCTGCGGCGTGCACCACCCCTGCGCCGAGGGCTGGATGTGCCGGCAGCAGATTCACAGCTACGGCGGAAACCTCTCTGCTAGGTTTTAATGCCATTTCTAATTACAGTTTACCTGCTGCACGTTATCACTCTTCTACTTCTCATGCAGAGTCTTTCACCGTCATTCCTAACTGGATGAAGTCACTATGATCAGATTACAGGAAGCAGGAAGGACCGGGGGACAAGGAGAGGAGGGAAGACAAGGAGACAGCATGGATGAGTGGAAACCTACAGGCAGAGATGGAAATCAGACCAACAGGCAGAAAATACGGCAACTGGAGCCCTGCGCATAAAGAGCCCCGCGGGCACGAGCACGACACCGGGCGTGATGCAATGAACCCTGCAGAGAGGGCTCTGAAACACAGGCCTGCCTCCTGAGACAAAGATAAAATCTGGGTTAAGACACGGGGCACCTGCGGTCCCTACAGCGCCGCCCCCGCCCCAGCTCCTACCTGGTAGATACCTGTCGTGGTCGTACTCGTGTGAGCGCTGCATGTGGCTGTTCTGAGTGAAAGGCTGGTTCCCAAAGAGGTTGTCACTGCGCAGATTGTGGCAGAGCTTCTCCAGGAAGCGGAGGACGTAGGTGATACTGTTTACTGCTGGCAGGTTCAGAGTGTGCTGTTCCCGATCAAACACAGCTGGAGACAGAAACAAACAGAGCCCAACACGTAAACCCCCAGCAAAGGCAGGAGACTACGCCCAGGGCTGCACAGACGGCTTCTGTATCTCAGCATTGCTGGTCTAGACCAGAGCAAACAAAAGCCACTGCCTTCCGCTGGCTGAGCTCGCTTCCCCGGGACAGGCTACAACCGGTCTGCTGCACCCAGCGCCAGGTACGGGGCTGCGGCGCTGAGAAGCTGCGTTCGAGGGCACGGAAAAACACATTCAAGGAGGGGCCTGCACTCCCAGCATCCGGGTACATGCGGGCTTAAAAGCCAAACTAAAAAACCGGGGGATTTCTTGTGTTTCCGTCATGAGTTCTGAAAATCCCACCCGTACCGCCTCCTCCTGGGGGCTCGAGCAGCGCTGGGGTCGATAGGTGAGGCCCAGGCTGACATCGGGGG